CTCACACACACACACAGACACACACACCAACACACACACACACACACACACACACACACACACACCAACCCCAGCCTGACCCCTTCATTTCTTTATTTGTTTTCAATTTTTGCATCTTAATTTTTTTTAAATACCCAATTTCCCGACAGAAAAACATTTCTCAAAAAATACAGGACAACTCAGCGACCGTGTCCCTCATGAAAAAAAATGACAAAAAAAATTCCTGCTTTTTTTCTTTTTTTTTTATAGAATTTGTTTAAATCGAACTTCGTTTTTCAGTTTTTAAAAATCTTAAACGAAGTCGGATTCCAAAATAAAAAATATAGGATTGTAGGTTGTCCAAGCCTTACAACCCTTTTTTTTTAATTTTTTTTTTACGTATTTTTAGGGGTATAAAAAAATATTAAAAAAACAGGCCGCGGACCGGGCCTCATTGGCCACGGCCGTGGCCGACTTTTTCGGCCGCGGCGGCCGAATTGCCCGCGGCCTAGGCCGCGGGTGTCACGTAGTGCCTTTCATCTTCATTTCCTATTCCTCCTCCTTTCTTGCCCTCTCTTCAAATTGTGCTCTCTTTGCCTCCAGCGTTGCAAGCTCGTCCTATGCACTTGTCGCCATAGCTGGTTTCTTTTTGCAACGCTCTTCTTTTTAGGGGTGGACAATCATTGTATGTGGGCCTACTTTCTCGCCTGTGAGCGTGTGAGCATGAACGCTCTCCGCCTCTTTTTCAACTACCTTTCTTCAATTCAACTTTTTTCTTTGTTTTTCTCCACGGTTATAATCCTTGCAGTAAATTGTGCTAAACAAGGTATAACATGAAGTAACAAGATGCCCACTGGTGGAAGGTAATTGTTCGCGTGGCGTTGGTTGTCGCGTCAAAGATGCTAATGTTGCAACTTGGAGTACCTGATCACTTGGCTGACTTTCAGATTGTTGACGGCTCCGATACCTGGGCTAGGAATTTGCCAAACTTCAACTTCTTTTCACGTGCAGCACTCAAACAAACTGAAGTGAAGACCAATCCTGAAGATGGCAATTGGAGAGAAGTTTTACAACAAACTCATATTGCTCAATCACATCAGCACACTTGATGAAAATAGAAACATATGATGTTCATTTGAGGGTCAGGCTACACTGAGCAGTCTGCAACGAAGGACACTCAAAGCCGTGTAGTATTGAGGATCACAAGTAAAGAACCACGTCCCTCTAAGACACTCCGCCAAAACCACGAACTTGTTCATGACAGTTGATTGGCACCATTGTACCCCTTTCAACCGTCTCTCTCTTCTGGCGAGCCACAATATCCAAAAACCCGCAACTCGAAACTTGTTCGCTATTACCAGCTTGGGGTCCTTTGCAGAGTTCTCAAGCATGATGAAATCTTCCGTCCAAACCGTTTCCGGACCATATGCACAGAACTATGTCCCTCTGAGTCACTCCTAGAAGCCCCTAGCAACCACGCATTCCCACCAAAGGTGGAATGTGACTTCCAGAGATTCCTAGGGGCGAACATCGCAGAGAGGGTTCATTTGCATGCCTTTTACAGAACACCAGGCAACAGTGGGAACACAAGACTGGAGGTGCAGCCATTGCAGGCCGCTCAGTTTCACATCCAGTGCTATGAATGATGTTACCCAATGGATACAGAGGTTGGCAAGCGGAGAAATCGTTCCCTTCCTCTTCCATGAATTCAGGACGTTCATCTTCAGGGTGGTAGCGTTTGACCGCAGGGCATATCCTGTTTGTGAACTTCACGCCGATAACGGAATTTCATATGACATGGCAGATTCGTCTGAGCACATGCAACCCACCCTCTGAACATCTATCTTCAGTTCCCCACGAGGCTGGCCAACCATAATAACATTAAGTCTCTTGATCCCCTTGTTCTCCTCTGCAAGGATGGCAATCCCTTGCCAATCCTCATTTGACTGCATGGCGACCTTATAGTGGACTTTGATAAGGTACTTCATCCCAAGCTTCCAAGATGACGCGAAAGTGTCCGATCTGTAATTGATTCAATGTGAAAAATTATGGATTGACTCCCCTTAATCCACCATGATCCCGAGCTTTTCTCCGGTGCAGGGCTTGTGATATGCCAACCTCACGCCCCCCACAGCGTTCCGTACCGGTGGGAATATCGATCGGAGTAATTGGGGTGAGGACGAGGATTTTGGGCAGGGGTTGAACCGCCAAGGTGAAACTGGGGTTCTCGCCTCAGTCCCGAAGGTCGTTTCTACCGGGATAACCGCAAATTTTCAAAATCTAGACAGCCGCAGAAGTGCACGGCATCAACAAAATTTCACCCGTCGACCTAGGAACACAGATACAACTTTTTACACAGCAGATAACCACAAAGACTAAACAAAAAAAGACAATGAATCTATCGTTTTTCTTTAGTTATGTTCACACCGCCCTTTTTATGGGGGCCAAGGAGACAAGGGACATCCTAGACATCCGAGTCGGGTCCATGGAGCCCATATGATCGGCTCGATCCCTTGTCACCGGATGAAGGCATGGGTGGAGGTACCCAGGTCCGGAAGTTCGTTGGAAGTGCTCCCGCATTACAGGAGAGATCTGGGAACCGGACGAACCCTTCGTACCCCAGCACCAACCTTCACCAGGAACACGAGTTTCCTAATCGGCACAACCAAAAGTTAAATTGAGGCTTCCACGTGGTATGTGCCGCATACTAAGGGAGCACCGTCAAGCAGTGTCAGGCAAAATCAACAATGGGGAAGCAAACCGATCTATCAAAATAAACCCCGATCCCCTTATGTGGCATGTGTTCAATGGGTTATAAAGTTGAACCCAATCAGTCCGCAATAGCATCCTTAGCACGTCCACATTGCAATAAAAACCGTCCTCGTCTGCGATCGGAAAGGGGAGGAGGTCGCTATGGCGGATGGATGTGAGGCTCGAGCACAGGCAGTTACCCTCGCTCACACTCAGAGTAGCAAACCTCGACTCCATACAAGTCTCAACTTGTGCCACAGCTTCAGTCCCGTTAAAGAAACAGAATATGCCAATTGTGTT